TAAACTTAGCATAATGAGGCATGTTAGCTAAAGCTTCAGCAAAAGAAATATTAATTTGCAACTTTTTGAAAACATCTAAAAACCTGGCATATTGTTGCTTCTAAGCTTGTCGCTTGAGCCTCATGGGATAAGGAGGTTTCTCAAAATGTGAGAAATCTCATTGCTTCTTTTGAACTATAGGAGGCTGCTCCTTTGCTTCTTCTTTGTCTTCTTGAGTGTGCTTATTCTTGTTTGTAGAAGCTTCAACTTTCTCCTTGTCTTGCTCCTCTTCATTGTTGAGCTCATCATCTAATTTTTTCCGCACCACCTTTGGCTTTTCTTGAGGTGCAATTAACTTCCCAGTTCTAATGGTGATTTCCTTGCAATGTTCTTGCAAGTTAACCACAGTGTCACTAGGGAAAATGCCTTGACTTCTTTCAGTTAGTTGTCTTGAAAGTTGCCCAATTAGACTCTCCAAGTTTCTGATAGATGCATCTCGATTCTTGAAGGAAGTCCTTGCCTCTTGAATGAATGTACTTGTATCACTCCTAAAAGCATCAGTGCCTTGCAAATAGTCAGTGGCGGTCCTGGTTAAATGCATTAATGTCTTTTCCAATTTAGAAGTTTTGCTCTATGGAATAGGTGGAGGTTGCAATTGTTGTGATGACTTCCAATCAAAACTCACATGATTCTTCCATTTAGAGTTAAAAGTATTCCCGAGAGCATTATTTTGATTTCTTGGAGGATTATTCTGAGCTCTCTGATCATACCAGACTCTATTGACTAGAACTGGATCTGCTCCTATAAGTATATCACACTCCTTAGTCTCATGCTCTCCTTTACAATCAAATATTTTAATTTTAGTTTTCCTTTATTGTTTTTAGTTTGTTCTAATAAGTAGGAGATGTTGAGCTTAGTACCCTGATAAAATTTTTTAGGTAACCTTTCTAACCTCTATGAAATTCATGATTATGTTCTTCCTAGTATGCGCAGTAAGTTGTTATTTTTGGTGATGTTCTAGATTCAATTTGATTGCTGAGGACAACAACTTATAAATCTGGGAATAGAGGAATGTGCAGCATTGTTTGCTACACTACGAGGTTAGTTGACAAGTAATCCAAATTTTACCTTCTTGCTTTGCTATTTAGTTTGGTTTTTATACAATATTCTTGATCAAATTTCATTTAACTATCTTGATTGATTGTCCAACTTAAGCGTAAATAGTGAATTAGTGATTGAAATTCTAATTCTCGTGAGAACGATCTCGTACTCAGTATATTTTATTACTTTTACGACCGGTGCACTTGTCAAAGTCACAACAGTGATAACTCTCTAAAAGAGAGTTATTTTAGGCTTATATGTGATGATTTGTGTCATACTTGTGCATAATTCTCTTGATTTTACATGATTATTGCATGAATTTTATATTTTCATGATTTGAATGAGAAATATGCTAAGTGTTGATATTTGAAGATAATTTGAGTGTTAGAACCATTTATTGCATTTGCTATTTTATTGTAGGTTAGTGTTGTAGTATCGAAAAGCAGTGTTGTAGCATTGAAGTTGAGGTCAGCAGTGCATGTGATTGACATCATCATCAGCAAGCTATGGACCCAAGCCCAAATTAATGGAGGGAAGCTTCTTAGCACGTAGACAAGTGTTCTAATCTGAATAATCACTCATATATCTCCAAGAAATCCTAATCAAATCTCCAACAAATCATATTTCACAAATTCAAATCAAATCTGAAGTATATTTGGAAAGATTTGAAGAAGATATGCAGCAGCATTTATGCTCTGTCCCTGATCAGCGCTGCAACAAAACAAAGTTGTATCTTCAATCATATCTGCAGCAACTAAGGAAAGAATCTTCAAGCAAATCAAGCAAGCAGTAGCTGCAGCAAAACAAAGCTATATCTTCAATCATAGTTGCAGCAAAACAGAGCATATTTGAACATGATTTGTAATGGATTTGAAGAGCTAATTGAAGCCCAATTCATCAAAGTCTATAAAAAGAGGAAGCCTACACACATCAAACAGGTTAGAGAGTCTCTCTTTGAGGCTGGATAGCCTTTCTTTTAGAGAGAAGGTGGGCTTTTGGAGGAAATCCAAGTCGTGAAACAATTAGAAAGATTTTGAGGGTTTGTTGAGAGAGATCCAACAGATCAAAGGGTGAAGCTAGGGTTTGATAGAGAGATCATTGAATCCGGTGGATCCCTACACTATTCCGACGACTGAGATACAGTGGATGGTGGTGGAGCCCACGGTTGCTGCGAGAGCAATGCTACAACAACGCCCCTGTTTATTTTATTTTTGCTTTATGGAATCTTTATCCCTCTTTGTTGTTTCTTTCCACCCAAGTATGAGCTAAATTGTTAGGATTAGGTGATAGAGTACCCTTATTGTGATGTAATCAATTTGCCTAAACTTTGTTGCATGATTATCCTTTCAGTTGTTTAATAAAGTGTTAAATTTTCCCTAATCTTGTTAATTCATTGAGAGAGAGTTACAAGGTACTTAGGATTTAGGCTATAGAGATATAGGTGAATCTGAAAGTTACTAAATATTGTGGTTTAACTAAGTAAAATTGGTTAATTGTGAGTAGAGAGATCATTCACACCACAAAATCATATGAAACTTGAACTTAATGATTTATAACTATGTTGGCCATAGAGATGTGGGACTTAGTATACATGTATGGTTGGTGAGAGCCCTTGCATGCATTGGTGTTCTGATTACTGAATGAATGATTGTTGTAGCATTGTGACTGCATACTGGTGAAACTGCAATGTTGGGGAAATTGATCTCAATCTACTTTATTACTTGATTTCTCTGTTCTTGAGTGCACTCTTAGTTTATTTTTACTTTGCTTTTAGTTATTAGTCAGTAGTTAGTGTTACTTTAGTCCTTAGTTCTTAATTCATAAAACTTTCATAAATATTGTTACTTTGATTGCTTCACATTGATCCCAACTTTATAGTTTTCTTCGTGGAAACGATATCTGGACTCGCACATCCACTTTATTACTTGTGACACGTGCACTTGCGTTAATGTGTGATAGATAAAAGGGTTACACAATTTCACAACAAATAGCAGCATTGCAAAATGGTTTCGTCATCCTAAATCCCACAACTCAAGAGGAAAAACAACAAGCATTTTGAGTGTTACTTTGAGTGAGGTGTATTCTCCTAATTTAAGAGAGAGTGATATTGTTCTTTCATTGTATTTTAGGGAGGTTGTAATTTCCTCCACTCAGTAAAAATCTTCTTTGATCTTGCCCGCGTCTTTGTTTTTTTCTAATTAGGTTTTCCACGTGAATTTTTAGTGTCGCTTCAATTGCTGTATTTGTCGACTTCTTAATTGGTGAAATTGAGATAAAGTTAATTATATCGTTGGTGTTTAGGAAGGTGAGTGGTTATTTTAAGCCATTAATATTGGTTTGATTTAAGTAAGTTGTATTAGGTTATGAGTTCAATTCTTACTTGTATAAAAAAAATATTATTATTAGGGGAAAAAGTATATAATGTTATTTTAGACAATTTTATTTAATATTCTTCGAAACGACGTCGTTTGGAGATTAAAAAATTAGAAAGACATAAACTATTATAATTCTGAAATAAATTAAAATTATAAATACATTATAATTTTCGCCTCAAAACTATATCGTTTTAGTTAATATTAGACAAAAATTATCTAAAATAACTTTATAAAAAAACTCTTATTATTATAAGTAAGGTTATACTTATAACCTATTTTTATTTATAACATTTTACAATTATATCTTAACCGTTGATTTTAGTCAATCAATAGTTATCATTTATTGTAAATTAATAATTAATTAAAGAATTTAATTTGCGAAAATAATAATCATTGATAGATGAAAATCAACGGTTAAGATATGAATATAAAAAGTTGTAAATAAAAATAAACTGTAAGAATAACCTTCCTCTATTATTATTATTATTATTATTATTATTATTATTAGATAAACCAAAACTGATTCAGCGATTTTCCACCGTTCCAATTTTTAAAAACTTTCAAAGATGGAAGCTGTGAGAAGGCAATTGAATTGAAAACATTATGACGTGGCATTTAGCCCGGACTTGGCGCAGAGTGCTTGCCTGTTGGATATGTCGAAAACGCGTGGGAGACCCACTACGTACTAACCAGACAAGAGACAACGACAAAATTATGAACTTTTTCGTTTTACACACTATTAGTATGAGACGCGCGCATTTTTAATACAAAACGATTTTCTCAACCCAACGTTATAACTTCTAGCAATTAGCTGTCTTCATGATGTTGTTCCAACAACTCTGACCCACTTTATCTTTAGTTCATTAGTTGTTATACCTTAATTTTTGTTGTTTTTCCACCGTATAATTTCATGTATTTGTCGAACAAGACGTACATGAGTGTGTTAAAATAACCATGTTGATGTTGTGGGACTACAGACTACTGTTGGGTTATTTAATGCATTATTGCTGATCTTATGATATTTTGTACCCATTTTGTCTGTTGATCATATCTCCTGCTTTGATTGTATTGAAGTTCATGAGTCATTAGGTGAACTGTCATGTGATTTCTACGTTGGTCATTTCTAGTTCTTTACATGTTATGAGAAGCTAGATTCTTGTTTTTCTTTTCCAGAAACAATTTCTGTTCTCACATACTGAGGGTGTTGTGCTGTACCAATCTCTGGGATTTCATTCATTTAATTGGATTCTATTTGTTAGTTTTGGTGTATTGGAGTTTTGATGAAGATATAAGGACCTGGGAGTAGGAAGGGCGCTTCTGTTGCATACACGTTGTCTCTCTGGCTCTCAAGAGTTTTTTCAGTTCTGCTTCATTTTTTGCATCACTTCATGTAAGTATTTATCGCCATCTCAACTTTGTATAATCTTACAGCAGTTTACTTCTTTAGAATCAACACTCTCTGGCGCATTACACCCACTTCTGTACCCGTTGTGATTAGTCCAACTTCTTTGTATATTAGCTGTTCTTTCTACTCCTGAATCTCAAATGGGTATTTGGGATTGCAAATTCTTTATTAGGGTTTCATCTATTTTCTGGTTGATGTGGGTTTCATCAGGAGATGTTCCTGATGACCACATTCACATTCTGATAGACTGTGGATCCACCAACAATACTCAGGTGGGGGCTCGCTTATTTCAAGCTGATAATTCTTCTTCCTACTTGCTTTCAACCTCAGAGTTTATTTTGGCAAAGGCACACTTCACCCGTATTCCATCATCTTTTGATTCAGAACTGTACCAGACTGCTCGAATCCTTAAGAGTGTTTCTCAATACACATTCCGAATCAAAAGACATGGAAGGCACTGGATTCGCTTGCATTTCCTCCCTTTCAGTTTCGGAAATTACAATATGAGCACTGCGAAATTCTCTGTTTCTGCTCAAAGCATCACACTGCTCAAAGATTTCCAAATAGACACAGGTTCTTTAATGAAAGAATACTCTTTGAACATTACAGATAGCCAGCTCGTGCTCACTTTTACCCCGTCTTTAAGTTCATTTGCTTTTATAAATGCCATAGAAGTTTTATCTATCCCTGACAAGGTTATTCCTGAGCATGTTAGCATCGTGAATCCACATGGGGATGACAAGGACCTGTGGAAGAAGGCATTGGAGACTGTTGCTAGGGTGAATATGGGTAATCAAACAGTATCTCCCCTTAATGATTCTTTGTGGCGTCTTTGGGTCTCAGATGATAGATATCTTATACACAATAATCTTGTGGATTTTGTATCCAAAATTGCAGCAGTTAATTTCACGGAAACAAACATTACTGAAGATATTGCCCCACCTACGGTATACGGGACTGTGACTAGATTGAGAACAGGTTCAGATCCTAGAACTATTGCAAATGTGACATGGCTTTTTGATGTTGATCCGGGCTTTGATTATCTGGTTCGCTTTCACTACTGTGACATTGTGAATCTACCCCCAAACACTCTCTTCAACGTTTACGTTAACTCTTGGCTTGTTTCTACAGTCGATCTTGGCAAAGAAACATCAAATAATATTTTTGTGCCATATTATATGGATTCCATCACAAGGACTAGTGGCAGCCGTAATTTAAATGTTAGTGTTGGTACTTTTAGCATAAGTGAAGCATCTTCCCCTGAGGCCATTCTCAATGGGCTAGAGATCATGAAGTTGAGTAACTCTAAAGATAGCCTGGTCTTAGATTCAGAGAGAAATACCAAGACAAAAGTTGGTATTGTAGTGGGTTTAGTGACTGGGTCTGTGGTTGGTTTATTGGCTATAGTTATGGCTTTACTTCTGCTTTGCAGAAGAAGAAGAAGAAAGAGTCTCCACATTGCTCAAGAAAAGGGTGACCATTTTGCTATTAGCGAAGAGGCTAGTAACAATTATGATGGAAATGCAATTTTTTCAAGCTCAAAAATTGGGTATCGGTTACCTCTTGCAGTAATTCAACAAGCAACTAATAATTTCAGTGAAGATTTGGTCATTGGTGCTGGTGGTTTTGGGAAGGTTTACAAGGGAGTTTTAAAAGGTGAAACGAAGGTAGCTGTGAAAAGGGGATCATGCCAATCACAACAAGGTCTTGCTGAGTTTCGGACTGAAATTGAGATGCTATCGCAGTTTCGTCATCGCCATTTAGTATCATTGATTGGGTACTGTAATGAAGAAAATGAGAGGATCATTATTTACGAGTACATGGAAAAAGGGAGTCTGAAGAACCATATGTTCGGATCAGATGTATATGCACCATGCTTAAGTTGGAGGCAGAGGCTTGAGATTTGCATCGGAGCAGCCAGAGGATTACATTATCTTCACACGGGCTCTGCCAAGGCAATTATTCACCGTGATGTCAAATCGGCAAATATCCTGCTAGATGATAATTTCATGGCCAAAGTTGCTGATTTTGGTCTTTCAAAAACTGGTCCAGAGATTGACAAGACTCATGTCAGTACAGCAGTGAAAGGAAGCTTTGGCTATCTTGATCCAGAATACTTAATAATGCAGCAGCTGACAGAAAAATCAGATATTTACTCTTTTGGGGTGGTCATGTTTGAAGTCCTTTGTGGGAGGCCAGTAATTGATCCATCACTCCCACGAGAAAAGGTGAATCTAGTGGAATGGATAATGAAATGTAAGGAAAGAAGCACAATAGAGGAAATTGTAGATCCTCGCCTTGCAGTTGCAGGTCAGATAAAGTCAGAGTCACTCCAGATATTTGTAGAGATTGCCAAAAAGTGCTTGGTAGAACATGGCATCAATCGGCCTAACATGGGAGATGTGTTGTGGCACTTGGAGTATGCTCTGCGACTAGAAGGTGTTGATGAGAGATTCAACCATGTTGGTGATGTGTCCTCCCAAATGTATCGCTCAGAAACTGGATTATCTTCCATGGAATACAGTATGGGAAGCGTAGGTAACCTATCTGGTGTTTCATTCAGCAAGGTGTTTGCCCAAATGGTGGCGGAAGATATGCTGTAGATCAGATAGCCACAGCCTTGAAAAGCATTTCTTTCTCCTTTCTAGCACATCACATATGATAGTAGGTTTTGTGAGTGATTCTTTTTCTTTTTTTTGGAAAAATATGTGTCGTTTAAAAAGATATAAAATTGTGTTATTTTAAGTGAGAGAAAGAAATAAATCGAAAAAAGAAAGTAGACAAAAAAATAAAAGTGTGAATCTCATCTCTTTGTGAAAGTAAAATAACATAATTTATATCATTTAAAACAACAAACATTTTTCTCTCTTTTTTCTTAGCTCCCTTCATTTGTACAAAGCAAGCCAAAACTGTTACTTTTTGCGCCAACTTTAGTTTAATTTATTGCTTACCCTATGGTATACGAATACAGCATATGCATTGCTTGCACTAATTTCAATATTTTATGTAAATAGTCTCTCCATTCGAGTTTTTAATACCTGTCATCAAAACACGTTTCCGGAATTATGTCAAGGTCTTGGATTGTACATGTTGAGTCCTTTACAAAGGGATTCCTTTCCTTTGATGGTTCCTTGTTCAAGCCGTGTCAAATTCTTGCATGTATGTGATGGTGAACATGGTGCCAAAATAATCCAAATTGGTGAAGCAAAAGATGAAAGCAGTAAAGAATTTGAATCTATCTATAATCGATCCAAAAAAATTGAATCTAAAATTTTAAATAAAAAATTGAGCAAAAGACGTATCATTCTTTAAGGAAAAATAAATTAAAAAGTCTAACTACTTTCAACGAATTTTACTTTAATGTAATATATAAAATAAGTTTATACATATGTCATAACTCTTTTCTTAAGTAGGCATTAGCAATTCTCCATTCATGTCTACGAATTCAACGCTGCACTAAAAAAAAAGGTAAAACAAAAAAGAACATTAAAAATTTGCAAACACCGAAAAATAACTAGTGTATTTAAGTATTGTTAAATAATATGGCTAGAATAAAAATAATTTAAGAGCCAACTACAGTCTACAGCCATACAATAATTCCGATTGTGAAATTTCTTAGGTGGCGAACTTTCAAATGCTCCAAATTATAGTTAGGAGTTCGGCCCCAATAGAATATCACTGCTACATCCTCTAACCGTGACTAGTAACCTAATTTTTCTTTCGATCTACATCCCATGTTTTTATTTTTTTCATTTTTCTGTCGTTTACCTGGGCTGACTTGGGGGGGAGGGGGAATCGTGCATGCAATTTTGAAGAATCGGAGGAATTGCGCTGTGCAAAGTTAGACATTGCCGAGAGCAAACATAATTAAATATGTAGTAACAAAGACTGCATCTCCCTTCCATGGCATCAGTAACCGAACTGTTTATGTAAGCAATGATCATGAGAATCAAACCCACTGAAGAAGTGGATATATGTGAAAGCAGAGAGCCATCAACCTCGCTACCTCAGCAACACCTTCCATATTTTCCTCATATATACTACAAACGACCATATGGCAAGCCCTGCTGCAATATAAAGCAAGACAACACCAGAGCCTACCAAGATGGCAGGTCCTCCACGACTGAAAACAAAATATGTCAAATAGAGACAGATCAACAGTTTTTCTTTTCATAAAAAATAATAGAGCTTCCTCAAAATGCAAAGAAAACAAATACCTGCAGTCCCGGGTAGCAAGGAGGATGGTTAAGGCCGTCATCTGTGTGGCTGTTTTCCATTTCCCCAAATTATTAACAGCAACAGCCTATTATTTTAAGTTTCATAATTATAACTCGAAACTTCGTATATGGATCGGGGAATTGATTCAAGTGGACAGGAGGTAAAACAAACCTCTTGAAGCTTACTACCCTGGGAAGCAGCCCATTCCCTGAGTGCTGACATGGTTATCTATTTTGAAGTTACAAGAAGAAATTGTAAGACATCTGCTCTCAATACTAATACCGAGTGAGTATAGTAGACAAGGTATGATGATGCCTCGAAAGGAAAAGGAAAGAGAGGACTATATAATTAGAATCTTAGATAAACAAGTATGCTTGCACGGCTTTTTGACCCTTATAACCCTTTATTATTAATTAATTACCGATTTGACCTTGATTATAAACTATTTCAAAAATTTAACCTCCTCACAAAACATAACACCAATCTGCCCATGTTTGACCGTTGACCACCAAGCCTACCCGGGTACACCTCTATGTACCCGGGTATTTTTTGAAAATTTTTGTATACCCGGGTAGGGAGGAGTGTACCCGGGTATTGTTCTTCGTACCTGAGAAATTGATTGAATTATTTACCCGGGTAGAGAGGGGTGTACCCGGGTAAATCTTCGACCACCCATTTGGTACTTGCTATAACTGGGGCAACTTGTAGCTGATGGATATAAGAACAGATATGATTTATTTGATTTTACCACAAGTTAATTATATTTGCGGATGTGTAATTAATTGTTTCATGGTAATTTTTTTTTTCTCTCTCTTTTTTATAGCTAATGAGATAGATCAGTATTATCAAGTTAAGCATGCCTAACCAATTTGAAGAGCTTTTAGCTTTGAGAATGGATTTGGAATTTCCATACATCAACACTTTACTGCTCATCAAAGCGGTCCCTGTTCGTATCGATTATGATGGGGTCTACTTTTATGTACGTCAAAATCGCGCTCCTATATATAAATGTGATACCGGGTCTATTGGGGAGAGTGAGACGGAAAGAAAATAAAGACATGGTTCATGGTACAGAAATTTAGTGTGAGCATGCAGCTTTTCATTTTACTGGTAAATGATGAATTATCACGTTCAGGGAAGACATGCATGGGACAAGGTTTGTGGTTGTGGATTTATAGTGTTAACTGATAATTCCCTTTCTGAAATAATCATTGAAAAATATTTGTGCTTTACAGACCCAAAAAAGTTGCAGAGGCGGAGCACGTGATAGTGGGTGCCTCCATATTCAAAGCTTGGAGAAGAAGAGTGGATGGGAGATCCAAAGAGTAATCATACCCGGGTACACCCCTCTCTACCCGGGTAAAAAATTCAAGTAATTTTTCAGGTGCGAAGAACAATACCCGGGTAGACAAAAATTTTCAAAAAATACCCGGGTACAGAGGGGTGTACCCGGGTAGACTTGGTGGTCAACGGTCAAACAGGGGCAGATTGGTGTTATGTTTTTTGAGGGGGTTAAATTTTTGAAATAGTTTATAATCAAGGTCAAATCGGTAATTAATTAATAATAAAGGGTTATAAGAGTAAAAAAGCCATGCTTGCACACATGCAAGAAAATATGTACAAACACAACTAATCATGATACACAGACTCTTGGCAAGCAAATAATACACAAACACAATAATGAATCTAAAGGCCCTGTGCAGATGGTATTGGCGATCTAAATTTTAGTGCATAATCAAAAGAAGAATGCTCTGAACAAAGTCAGGTTTGTATATTCATAAGCAAAATCATAAACCACCCCCTCATCTCTGCGTGTTACATACACCTATTTTGGAAGAAAATTAGGGATTTGAGTTCAACTAAAGGAACCCTACCTCAAGCACACTAACCAGTGCACATAATATTTTTTCTTATCTGATGATCTTTATTCAAATACTTCAAGGTTTAAATAGATAATACAATCCAACCATAAGAATAACTACTCACTAACACTAGATATGCTCCACTAAACCTATGCTTTAGTAAAGTTGAAATTCAAATAACAAAACAAACAAAATAACTACCACGCTACTTAAACAACCCAACAATTCAGAAAATAATAAAACAATAAAAATAACCGTAACACTCCCTCCCCTAAAAAATTTAGATCCACGATAAAGGTAGCTTCATAATTTAACATCTCTTTTCTAAAAAGAAGATTTCAGTGTTTCAGACCACGATTTCAACTAAACTATCCCCGTGCCATATCTTGGATCTTTCTCAGTTGTTTTAGATCCACTCCCTCTATTGATGAGCTGGCCACATTCCGAAACAATCCTGGTCCTCAATGTTAAGCATGAACTCGAACATGTAAGGGAATTGTTTGCTTCATAGTAGAGGGAGACAGGCCCTAAGGGTTTTTAGGGAAAAGGGGGACTTAAGCTTTTTTTCTCTATAAAGATGGAACCTAGGGGAAGAAGGGCGGGAGGGGGGTAATCTGAAGTATTCATGATTATGCATCTTATTTTACCATCAGCTTTGGGTGTATGGCAGAGGCCTATATATCAGTTGCAATTCTACACCTAAGCACAAAACACAGTCATATTAACTTTACTTGTAACAGTGAAATGAAAAAATAATATAGAACTCAAGAATAATTAAGATTTATTTCTGTTCTTATATTGAAAATTGAGAAGTCAGCCTTAGCTTTTGTGGTTTTTGGTTAGTGATTCACATCATCAACACTAGTATTTAAGAGGTTTTACACACTAAAGGAACAAAATAATGCACATTATCAGAACATCATTGATTCAATCCTCCAGAGCTGCAGGTGGTCTCAATGATCATACTATGGGAGTGGGAGGACAACAAACACAGGAGATCCCAATTTCACACTCTCCTGATCATGCTGTTCATACATAAAACATTGGATTTGCACGGTTTTCATGAAGGCAGCTGATTTAAAGGTGCAGTCTAGAGTGATATAATGACCATTAATAATTCAGATTCCATGACAGTACTAGAACCTTGCATGAGGCTAATTATATTGCACTAAATTGCGTTTTACAAACTAAACATGAAAGAATAAATAAAATAGAGATAAGTTAATGTAAGAGAATTAAGATGCATAAGTTTGGTGGATTACATTGCTTGCTAGATTCCCAGTGAATTAAATCTTAAAAGTAATAAAAGCCTTGAAGTTGCAGATACAAGACAATAAGAATTCATTACCTCTCTACCAATTATAGTGATTGAAGGTATAATCAATAGCCAGGGTGCTTGTCCTAACACAGCAACTTCCAAAGGTCTAGTACATAATAAGACCAATGTGGCAGCAACCATAAGCTGCATTCAAATTCAGTAGTAATTAAATTACATATTACTGAGAGAAACTTGTAGCTCAAAGAAAAATAAGGAGAATTACCTTGTCAGCTACTGGATCTAAAAAAGCACCAAATGTAGATTTTAGTTTCATCTGCACAGGAAGTATATAAGAGAAAAACTGTTTAATAAATAAATAAATGTGTTAAGTTGAAGATTGGAAAATGTTGTCTAGGTTAGGTATAGGGAGAGGGAATAGAAAGAGTTTAAATAATGAAGAATAGATACCTTGCGAGCAATATAGCCATCAAGCCAATCGGTAACTGCTGCAGCGGCGAAAATACTTGTGGTAGCAGCTGTTCCTCGCCAACCATCCATGTAGAAGGCTAAGCAAAATATCAGAAAAATTATTTGATCACGTCAAATCAATGCATGTGATGGCATTGTAGCGAGTGAATCAATCAAGAATCCACAAATTGAATTGCATTACTTTGAAATTGGTAAAAATGTTAATAAAAAAAGGTAAAATAAAAATGAAACATACTGGCAACAAGAAGAGGTATCGCGGCGACACGGCCTAGAGTCAAGATGGTAGGCAAAGTAAGGAGTTTGGAATCGGAAGGCATAGAAGGTTGGTGATTCTTCGAGATGGAAAAGTCACGGCCATTGATCTCCGAACCCATTTTTTCTTTGATGCCGAACCAACCCCAATTTTGCACCTACACACAAGGGAAAGTCACAGGTGGTATGGGCCCCAAAAGTAAACCCTAACTCTTCCTTTTATATATATATATAGAAGGCCTTGTTAGTTGTTAGAATAGAAAGTTATCGTGCGCCGGGAAAATGTGTGGGGGCACAGGGTGTTATCCTCTACCAATGCTGTTCTATATTTGCGAATAGAGAATAGAAATTGGCCAACGCCAACGCCAACGACAACGCCAATGCGGTTTTGGGATTAGGAGGATCCAGAGGAGGAGTTTGTGGCTGACTCAATGTACGGACAGAGACGGAAGCAGTTGCCGTCAGTTTAAGCCTTAATAAGGGCTTGAAGACATGAATCAGGTCAGGTTCGATTTCCGCAATCAGAGGCAACCCAAAAATTAATTATAACATGTTAAATATTACAAATTCAAAAGGAAACTAAATCATAAAAGGACACATCACCCGGGCGAAATTTTCATGTCCCTCTATTTGCTACAAATTATATAATCATAATATAATGATTAATGTTTATTATGTTAGAAGAGATAATTATATCTCTTATATAGCTGTATATACATAAAAATATATAAAATTTATTTGGAGCCATGTGAAGATGAAAAAAAAAAGGGGGGAGGGGTTTGTCATATACATTTTAATCCCATATATGCATTACTCAAAGAATAAATAATATAAAATAGCACTAGTTAAAAATAAAATTAACGAAACATAAGTAAAATAAAAATAAAAACCAAAAAAAGCAAGAATAACACAAAGATGAGAACTTTTTTGTATTGCTTTTATTTTCTTTTCTATTTTATTTTCTTTTTCAATCATAGGGAAATATGATATGAGGGTTGACTATATGGTTAAAGAGGGAAAAACAAAGGGAAAAATGAATCAATCATATCTATGCATGCAATTGAAAACAACAATTTCAAAAAGAACAATAGTAAGTTTTAGAGAACAACAATCATGAGCATAGGCACACAAGAAAGAAAGAATGGTAGAAGATAAAGTTCATTCATACAGGTCTAGTATCTCACAGGGAAAATACCAAATTACACATCAACATGACAAGATCAACTACCAAATCAAGTAATCCAAGAGTCAAAAACCCAGCCTAACCAGAGTGATCCATCAAGCAACATGTCCAAGTTCTTACTAAGTATAGCTCAACAATTATCAAAAAATAAAGGAAAATCTACTTATTGAAACTCAAAGCTGAAATTAAAAAAGTAAATAAAGAAAAAAAAAAGAGGTAGAAGACTCAATGTCCTCCTTAGGGAGGATAGGTGGCATCAGTGAGCAGAATCTCTATCGCCAGAGGTTGCTTCTAGGCTCCCTTACAAAAAGATTTGAGATAATGGCCATTAGCTGTGAAGTATTCCCAGTCTGCTTATCATGCAACTTCGCAATAGGCTTAGGAGGCCTGCATATTGGACACAGAAGGAGGACTTTCTGATACCATTTCATTTTGGGTCCATGAGAGTTAGGATCAAAATTATTATAAGAATGATCAGCCTTTGGAGATAAAACTCCTAACGGCGATTTGGGCAAGATAGATGTCTCACTGATCACAAAAACACCCAAAATCGAAAAAGAACTAGCTAAACTATTAAAGATTAATAAACTAAATCAATGAAACAAAACCAAAACGAAAAATAAAGGTTAAGAACAATACGAGAAAAAAATGTTTTAAAAAATCCACATAAGCAAAAAATCTCAAATATCCATGATCATGATACATATAATTATCACTATAAATAAGAACTAGAATACCTATAGTAGTGATTAATATTGACATAATAAAAGTATGTGAATAAATGAAGTATCCAAACTCTAAAGAAAGATCAGCATTTATAATCCAAAACTATACATATTGATATATAGAACTTTTATGGATTTTCGCTATAGCTTCGGTGGTTTCCCTTAACCGAGCTACTGCCTATGAGTCACCGGCTCATTCTTCAAAAGGCACGCAGTCAGAGCCCCGGGCTGGGCTCCTCCCACTGCTTGGGAGCTTACGATTTCATGTTCTATTTCACTCTCCAATGAGGGTTTTTCACCCTTCCCTCACGGTACTGCTCCACTATCAGTCACCCAAGAGTATTTAGCTTTGCAAGGTGGTCCTTGCTGATTCACACGGGATTCCTAATCAAGAGTTAATATTTAGAAACAAAAATTAAAAGAACGATAAAAAACGATGTAATTTTCCCAGCAACGGCACCAAATTTGACACGAGCTATCGCACTCGTGCAGATTAAAATAATTAGATTTTTATAAATCATTTATAGTAAAGTGGGTGATTTTTTTAATTTAAATTTAAATAAAAAAAATTATGTCTATCTATCTCTTAAAATGACGTAACTTCATGTCATTTAAAATGACAAACATTTTTCTCTTTTATATATATATATATATATATATATATATATATATATATATATATTCCAACAAATTGTAGATTTATAATAATTGTTGAAATAGTTCAAACATTCAAGCTTTGTTTTTTATCTCTCACTTGGTTGTGTTCCATTTTGTGGTAAACTTTCCTTTGCTCTAATCTCGTGATTTTACAGAACAGGATGAGTGCGTTTTGCTGTGTTTCTTTGATATTGTTGATTACTTAAGAACGGTGATGATAACTAGCCAAAATCTAATTTCGTTTCCCGGCCGAGTCCAAAATCAAGATATAATTTTAATTCTTCTTTTCCCGAGTCTTCTTATGGACAATCATTTTGAAGTTTTTTTTGCTTCGAAAGTTACAATGAAAATCTCATGACCAAGAAGAAGGGGGGAAGTTATAAACAAATATACTCATTGAAATATAAATATCAAAAGTCCGCACAAATAGTTCTTAAGAAAAACTATTTGCTTGACATCAAGCCACTTGATAAAGTTATCAACTTATCATACGAGAAATTTCTCATTTCCATATTTAAGCTTTGTCAGTTGGAACAAACTTTTTTCATTTCTCAAGCAAATGGACAATATTTGAATAAGGTAATTTCAAAATATACAAGGCTTACCTACTAAAGTTGTCATATTAATTTGTCCTTGTCGATTACATAGATAGTTCATCGATAACGTACATTGACTCATAAAGGGAAGAAGAACATAATTTCGAAACATAATGATCATTATAATTGGTAAATGTTCCTCCTATTTCTATCTCGTTTTTGAGAATCTTAAGAGGGGGAAAAAAAGAGCTAGCATTGAAATTGAATATTCAAAGCAAGATGCAAATTGCGTTGAACGGTCACTAGAAGCAACATTCATCCAAAATGCAGCAGCAACAGAGAGCAGCCAAACTGCATGTGTCATATAGCTGCTATGAAATTTCACCATAAATATCACGAAAGAGCATCAAGAGAAACTACCAACATAGTGTCATGCCCGTGCAAGAAAAATAGAAAAGAAAATAAGGAATAATATCCAAAGAGGCGAACTTGCCACAAATCACAAACACCAGCATCAATATCGTGTAAATATCAAACAAACATATATTTTATTTTTATAAACCATCGCGTATCCCGTAACCAATCGTTAAATGGTGTTGACTAATCCGACAGTACCTTAAGGGTAGCAAAGTTACACTACAACATATTTAATACAACTGCTATGAAATTTCACCATAAATAATCGAATTTTCGAAACAAAAGTGCAAGTCCATCTCTGATCGTTGTCTCCAAAAATAACAGTTCAAATAATTGTTACACTAAGCATTAAATGTCTTCAGAAAGCACAACTTTGTACTTCTCAAAACTTGCAACTCCTAGCAGGGTGTTAAAGGGCAGGAAACCCATTCGTCTGGTACTCTATCGTTGCTTTACAATTCATATAAAACCTTTCTTACCGGTGCCAATTCATATAGTCTTTCCAGTTCAAATAACAGTTCAAAGCAAGATTTTAAATTGTGGTGTTGCGGTTTGTGCTTAATTATATGAAAATTATCTGCATTATTGTACATTTTACAATAATTATAGTTTTATTATTATTATTATTATTATTATGAGATATCCAAAATAAAAATTAGTTAAGCAATATTAAAATATAAATAAATTAATAGCAACTGTAGGTTATTTTTCACCTCTCTAAAATGGGTGTTTGGTATAAGTATTTGGTATGGAATGATGGGAAAGTGGAGGTGGAGAATATTTATTTACCATGTTTAGCGGGGAGATTGCGAACAAAATACCAGCAATTTTTTTTACCCAGTATTTTCCTTTTGAAGGAAACAAAAGGAAATTCCTTGATCTTGAATTTTTAAAAAGTAGCATTTGATTCACTTTTTTTAAAAAAAAAAAACCTAACATTTGATGATGACTCACTTGGCATATTCAAAAATTTAAGAGTATTTTGATAATTTCATTCACATTTTCATTAATATTTTACGATCAACCAAACATAGCATCATTAAAATTAACCAAACTTTTCTTGCAAAATTTCTGACAACCAAACACTTTTTTTGTAAGTTACCCGGATAAAAAAATTCCTACCAAACTCTTAACAATTTTTTTTTTCTCGGTAAAAGTAAATATCTCTCCTACCAAACCCTTAAGAATATTGATTCACCATGTAATTAAAAAAATAAAGATGCAATGACCAAGATTGGGGTGTAAATGATCATGACCATTACTTTATTGTATTTTGTAATAACTTCATTGAACCCGTTTTTTGCTGCTTTCTTTCCATCCATAATCGTACGCAGTAGCTTCTGGGTGTCGACAAAGCTGTTCTTCAAGTTAAACAGAATGATGTATAATTCTTGATACAATTTTATGACACCTAATTTTCTTCTAAAATTAAAATTAAGCTTAGCAGTTCATATTCAGATTATATTTTGCCTTTATGTTGTACTAGCTAGTAACTTTGTCAGGATTGATATCAACTCCGAAGGGTGCTTGACATCAACGTCTCTTGAACCAAGAATATATAGCGTGCTATGGGAACAGAGGAAGAGTACTTACCAGCCTCTGAGGAGAGATGAGCAACCAATACCATAGTTGTGATACTGATTGTAAGGCCGAAGGGGAGGTGGAGTTGCAGATGGTGGAGGATACTCTCCATAGAAGTAACCTTGATAGCCACGCGGCGAACGATCAAAGCCAGGGTAACCAGGTGGTGCCGGTGCTTGTGGTGGAGGTGGTGGAGGAGGGGGGTATGGAGCAGGATACCCTGAATCCAATGATCATAATCATATCATATTAGATTACATCAAATACAATTGGCGTGAAATCTGATGAGCAAATTTTTGCAGCTATAATAAGAAGCCCAAAAAGAAAGAAAGAAGTGAACTTGCCTGGAGAGGAGGAGTGAGACTCGTGCCTAACATGGTAAGCCAGACTCATAGCGTTAATAAGTAAGAGACTTCAACAATATGTTACAAAAACTTCGTTCGGTACTTATAGTAATCGATCAACCAAGATATATATGTGCTCTGATTGCGACCAACAAGGAAGATGAGGATAAGGATATATACATCTTGCAGGAAATTTCCTCTTTTTATTTTTCTTTCGTAGAAAACGGCATCAATATCATATTTGTCCAAATGTGCAGGTAAAGAGACACACGTCCGAACTACCCAACCAGGTGTCTGTCATGAGTCAATCGACCATATTAACATGCTTTCGATCTTATCCACCACTACAAACCGTGCATGTTAAAAACGGATTCAAATAAGCTGTGTATCTGTCTATCCGTGTACCCTTCCATTCCTCTTATAATATTGTTTTCCAAAATGATGATAAATTATAATAACATATAGTTAAAGCATACCCTACACGAATATACGTGAATGCAAGAAACAAAAATTTAAGCTCAATGTTAGATAATGTGTCTTAAGACAATGTTGTCTTTTCTATGGTGTTCAAAATTCTTGGACAATTATCTCTCATCATAGAATAAATTACCTCTATTCTCGTAGCGGCACTTTCACATAGAATAGTCTCATCGAACTCAACCTATACTAGACAAATCGCACTAGAGTAAAAAAATACAAATGTAAAAAAAAAACTTTTCTATTCTCTATATATTTATAGAAAATGTAATATCACGATTCAAAAAGCATTTATTTGTCTACGAAATAACTCATCATTTCGATACAAAAAGATACATCTCTTCGACGACAAAAAAATATACCTTTCCAAATCAAACTTCTTATTCATAAAAATAATTAATTCAAAATTAATTTCAACAAATATTTCAGTTAAAAAAAGTTATTTTTTTAAATGATAACTTTTTCCTTAGTCATCAATTTTTTTTTTCGAAACAGTTATCAATTTTATTTCACTAAATTATTATTATTTAATTAAAAGAACAGACAAAAAATACAATTCCGTTAAATTCACGCACCTTCTAATACTTATAAACTAAATACTTTAAATATCTTAAATATTAATTTTGTAAAAGCAAAACGCTATAGGTTATGCAGATAAAAGCGTTAAAACAGTTCTTATAGGCTTCTTTGATTTCTGTTTCTAAAAAAAATTAATTCAAAACAAAAACTTGTTTAAAAAGAATTATTTTGTTAAATTTCTTAAAACAATAACTATTTTTTAAAAAAAATTAGAAAAAAAAGATAAATCAGAGATATTCTCAAAAATTATTTTTTTGATTTTATTATTTTTGCAATGGTAATTTTATAATTATGAGAATTCATTAGTAATGTTTTTGTAAATAAACTTAACTTCTTTTTAATTTTTTTTTTGGTAAACTTCTTTTTAATTTTAAATTACTTATAATCATAATCTTGAAATTATGAAAGTTTATTAATGAGATTCTTGTAAATAAATACAACTTCTTTATTTTTTTTGAAAAAGCAAAAAAAAATAAAGAAGTTGTATTTATTTACAAGAATCTCATTAATAAACTTTCATAATCATTATAACTTTAAATCCAACCATATTTAAATTTCAAAGTTTTATTGTTCTTAAAAAAACAAAATCAAATTCAAACATAGTTTTTTTTTCTTTTTTAAACCCACGATGTATCGCATTAAACAAACTAAGCCCACCAAGATTTAAAGTGCAAAGATTTGTCCCATAATCTCAAAGAGTTTTTTCAAGGGTCTAGATCTGATCTTTAGAGCATACTTAGTTAACCGTTCCTGCATTTTATTTTCGGATTATATTACTCTTATATAATAAGAGATATGTTGCCTAATGTTGTAAATACAATCATGCGATAAGCCACATTACTTATTAAAATAAAATAAAAAAATAAGCACATGAATCTATGGATCTGCATGAAGTTGTGATCACTACAAAAAAAAATTGTTTAGCCACATTTAAAAACGTGGCTAAATGTAACAAAAAACGTGGCTAAACCAAACTACCACACTTTTGCCAAATGTGGCTAATCTTGGCGTGGCATTTATTTGGCCACATTTCTTTCCTCACTTTGCTACTGTTGTCATGAGTGTGGTAGCATTATATTTGCCATAGTTATTTTTATATTAGCCACATTATATAAATGTGGCTAATCTGTAGGGAGAAAATAAAAAAAATAATACATTTTTTATTTTTTTTATAATATGCCTCTACCTAAATTTTAATTTTTTTTTGGCTGTCAATTAAAAAAACAATAAAACAATTGAAGGCCCTTAATACAAAGCATGATTTAGTTTCTATCCTGAAACTATCTAGCTTACAAGGTTACAAAGCAAAGCAAATTCTTCTTTTGCCAAAAAAGAATTTGCTTTGTTTGAGATGTTATGCAGCATACCAAGGTTTGAACAACATCCATGTAAGTGTAGTTTCTCTTGCTAGTGACTTGGTCACCAGAACGGGAACAAAACACATAAAAGAGTTCCAAACCATTTATGTGGTCATACTGTCAAACAAACAGAACAGACATCAACCTCAGAAAATAATCAACAAGAAAAAAAATAAACAATTTAGAATTGGAACAAGAAAACAAAATTCAAAAAATGCAGCCACTAAAAAGGTAAATAAACATGAGCATGATTTTGCACATACACAAACATTTATAAATTACCATATGGATAAAGCATCGATGACAATCTCTGTTTTCGGAAGATTTTCTGTCATCTATATCAGAATTCTATAATACCAGTTATCCAAGCTATAAATGCAAAAATTAAAAATACTATGAAAAAATGCTCATCAATCTGCAAAATCCAATTCTGTTACAATTCCCTAAAGACAGAGACAGTAACTAACCTAAGGACAATCCAAATAGATAACAATCAGAGAAAATATGCATAGGCAGAGATATTGAGTTTAAAAATAATAAAAATACAACCTTTGGGCCTCTCTCAATGATCTGACAGCATAGAGCTTACCACTCCATTTCTCCCTTACCAACTTTGCTACCCCAAAGTTCCTTGACCCAATATCTTTAATTATGACAGGTTCCTTCTTAAAAAATCAAATAAAAAATAGTTTCAGTGTGCCAAGTGATTTGAAACATTATGCGATAGATATATGGACATCAAAATTACCATAAACACCAGCAACAGCCTCTATAGCTTTTTTCTTTGTTTTCTCATCAGCCATGATCACGATCTTCAGCACCACTTTCTACGCACACACGGGTCAAAGTCTGGATTATATTGAATTAGAGTTATTAGAGATTGCTAATAGTAATATCATAATTCTATAAATATGTATATGAAAGCTAATTAAGTTTCAACTCAACGTTTTAAAAACATTATTTAAGTGGATATGGTATTGGATCTAAACTCTAAACTCAGCATGCATGTGAAAGTGCTATCCAAATATAGGCATATACTAATTAACAATCAGTTTTTTTTTTTAAAAAACAAAAACAAAAACTAGTATTGCCCTTTTTCTCTCCTTGTTTTTCAATTTTCATTTTACCTCATTTGGATAGATAGATAGAGGCTTTATCAGTATATCGCTGGAGCATGTAGTTGATGACGATTAAAGAGGAAAAAAAAGGAGGGGAAAAGATGTTATATGAATATTCTGGATCTAGATCATTAATTTAATATCATAATCTGTCTAAAAGCAATGCAGTTTATACCAGCTTCCTGTTAGGAGGATGATTAAATCGACATGTTGCTCCAAATCTACAAAGACCAGTTCTGATGTATATGAATAATCTGGTTCTCCAGGATGCTCGGGATAAGGTCCTGATTCCATTGTTTCACTTGACCTCAAGTTCATTTGCCACATTGCATCTGAAATAACATGATATGAACAAGTCAGTTTCTCAATAAAGACATCATCTTAATCACAATACATGTGATTAAGATAAAAGTTTGACTGAGTACTCTTAGCAACAAAATGGCTTCTTTCCTAAAATATGTGTATATCACCACCTCTATCATGCACCTTCTAATCCTCTTTCTCTGATATATATCTCATCATCCTAACCCAGGCCATTCTGCCAAGGGCTTCTACTTTCATATAATGTTTCTGTAAATTATCAATGGTTTATTTATTCCTATAAAAAAATGGTAATATTTTAAGAATTTTCAAACATGGATAACAAATAAAACTCAAATCTGATAAAGTTTTTTAATTGTTCTGATGTTTCTGATTAATTTTCTACCTCAAAGCTCCAAACCTCTAAATTTGAATATGAAGGAATTGTTGTAAGAAGAAACTGGAAACAAGGCCTTCCAAGAACAGTGAACTTCTATCGTCATCCAAGCATCCATGTTCCCCATATACAAGGAAATGTTGAGTAATTGAATTTAAATATACATTACGTGATACAAGTAACTTATCTAATAATGAAAAAATGGTTTCAATAAGTCTAGTGATATTTATATGCAAACATTAAGTGCTAAATTTTCTATAGATAACTCCATATTACTCATCTTCTGTTCATTTACTCAATGCAGAGTTGCGAAGTATAACAAATTAACATTAGAATTTAGAGGTCTATAAATAAACCATATATTCTTATAATGATATGAATGATAGTTTCTATAAATTTTAGGCATGGAAACTTAAAAGTTCCAACAAAAGAAACATAAAAATTGACTTTATATGAGTTATTATTGCAACTAGATACCACTCATTCACAAGTGAAAAGATTCTTTACCTTCCAGAGGGCCTAATATCCACTCATTCACAATTTTCAGTGCTGCTAGTAACAAGTTCATAAAACCAGATGCTAACCTGTAATAGTGCAACCAAGCAACCCTATTATTCCTAATCCTTTAATTGTTTTAGGGTGTAAAACATCACAAGCGAATTCAGTTCAGTAAGTTTCAATTGATAACTTCAGATCCAAGAACTTAAAATCAAAATAAGAACCTGTTGATTATCATGCAACGCTCTTGAGAAAAAGGTATCCGCTGTAAATATAAGCCAATCAATTTCAAAGTTCCCCAGTGGTATCTGCAAAAGAAATTCATATGCATAGGCAAAATAAAAGATGGGAAAATTACAAAAGAGA